TTTGGAATCGGCTTTTCCCGAGCCTTTTCTAAAGTAGTAACTGTTATAATAATATTAATCGCGCAGGCTCTAGACGCATTTTTACCTTACCTAGGAAAAACGTGTGAGTAGCTCGTCAGCGGTTTTCGTTTAAACGTGAACTTAAGTGCGGCAGTGTGCAAACTGCTCAACCGAGAAATCGGGCAGAGTTGCGACACGGTTGCCGTCGACAGTGTCGACTGCGATAGGGTTGCGACTCGGGTTGCACCGATGCAAATTTGACATCACTGTCGACATGCGGTAATTTTAAAATAATGTGGGAGAAAACGTAAACATGATCGAAGATGCAAAGGACTGGGAAAATTCCTCCCCGCCGCGATTATTGACCCAGCAAGGAAAATATAACACGGATGGCTAACCCGATTCAAAACCGCGGTAACGAGTTTCGGTTAAATAGAAAAAAAGAAGAAAAAAAGATGCAGCGTCAAGGGAGGGAATGGGAGTTTCCTTGAGGAGTTTCTCTCTTTCATTTTGGAAAAAAAAAAATACTGATGAAATATTTTCGGGAGGCGTCAGGTGGATTTCGCGATGCCGTGCTGACATAATTAGCATAATTGGAAAATGAGTCTCGTTTCCTTGTCAAAGTCTTGCAAAAAAAATTGGACATCTCTCCCATGCTTCAGTCGAGAGTGATGAGACCACTTTCTTCGTGGGGATTCCGAAGTTAAACCATCTGTAACTCTTTCAAAATTTTTTTGCTGTAATGAGTTGATTACGAATTTTGAGGGAAAAAAAGAAAGTAAGGTAAAAAAAAAAATATTCTTCCTGCCTGACACGATCCAGGCAACTCCAACTGGTTCCATTTCCTTTTAATTTAACGTAAATTGCGCCCGAATTAGTTGAGAAGTCGTTACTTTTCATCGCCTGGGCGTCGAATTTGTGCAATTAGAGTAAGATTCGATTCCGATCACCAGAGACATCTAGTGTGAGAAAAGTGAAGCTCGCTTGAATGGGATTCGCTTCGGGAATCCGACAGCCTAGGGCACAAAATAAAGTTCGATGCATCTTCGTTCGGATTTTCCGCAGGAGAACGGCCGTGCGGTCGATTCCCGGAGGGACAGGGGCGCGCGAGACCGGGGAAGATCTTGTTCGCCCTCTAAAACGGGATCTTTGGCTTCGCGTTACCGTTGTGACCGTCGAGAAAAATGTCGGGATGGCTTAATGATGGTCAATAACTCCTTGTAAAGTCCTACGAACGAAAGTAATTTTTTTTTAAATAAAATATGCTGAAAATTAAATAAGGCGCTGCGAGGCTTCTGATTCTTCGAAGTTCTGCAACTCAACTTGTAAATTTCAAATAACTTTATTAATTAAAAAAATATATATTTCATCCTTCAAAGTACTCTAAAGCAGAGTACGGGGGTGGCTCAAAAAGTTATGCAAATCACCATGCTGTTTGTAAACAAGAATGTTAACAATTGAAATGCCGCCACCATTGGAAAGAATAGGCTTTGTTGTGTAGATGTCGTGTAGGTCCTGGAAGAACCTCTCGTATTCATTCAAAAGTAAACAAATGGAGTACTCAGGTTCAGGATCTTGCTCAATCAGTGAATTCAGCCTTAAATCTATCTAGAAGGATTAAATATATATTTGTTTTAATTAATATAGTCATTTGAAATTTACGAGTTGAGTTGCAGAACTTTTTGAACCCCACACGCAAAAAGTGAGTAAACCAATTTTGTCCGTTTGCAATGATAATTATTATAAACTAAAGTATGCTATTAAACTTCAGCTATTATTAAACTTCTCCAGCTATTAATTTCTGGTTTCCCTGCTGGAATCTGATCGAATGTGATACTCAAGCTGGTTATGTATATATTTTCAGCGATGAAACGAAGCAAAAAATATCAAACATGTTTCTCCCAGCAGATGGTACATTCCAAGGTACGAGATCTTTCTCCCCGCTAATTTGGAGAAAGGACGATACATCTGACAATGTCGATCTCGCGAGAACATAAGGCGCATCTTTTCTCATGCAGCCTGCTAAATACAATCGTGAGTCATCAATTTCCCAAGCGAGGCGTGCGTCGTAGCACTGGCTCCCCTGCGGAGCCGACAGTGACGTCACGAAGTCGTTCCCGAGCGGGAATGCATCATGCATGACATGAGGATGCACGGATGGAGGATATTTGGATGGAGGATGTTTGGATGGAGGATGTTTGGATGGAGGATGTTTGAATGGAGGATATTTGGGTGGAGAATGTTTGGATGGAGGATGGATGGATGGCGGATGCACGGCGGGGAACCCAACAGGCCTTTGACGCTCCTCGGACATGCGTGGGACACTGGCCTACATGGATATCTGCGGTTTTTGCAAAAAGGGGGATATGAGAGCCCCAGATGATGCATTTCCGTCCCTTTGCAGGCTTTTTCCAAGGCGATCGTCGTATAAACTAGTTCAATTAGTTTCGCATCGTCTCCAGAGCAGCAAATTATTCGATTTTCTTAAATGACCTTAACGAATCCAATATGGTATAATTCTGTTGGGCTTCCAAGTCGATGCCATGCCTCCATCAAACTGGATGTACGGAATAATCGGCTGGATTTCCGAATGCAATTAAATATGGGATGGTCAATGCGGATCACTCAAGATAAGCTGGGAAATCAAGATGTCTCAATCGGAAGTTTCAAGTTCGAGTTTTTTTTCCCCCGGATGTTTCTGCCGCCCTTCTGTAATTCCATTTTCCGATGGAGTCTTCCAGGCTTCACCCTCAATCATTTTCATTCTCGAGAGAATACGCGAAATTTAATTGGAAAGAAGAAAACATGCGTTGAACATAAGGAACGAACTTTCGGTTTTTTTTTTTCAGTACGAAGCACTTGGGTTGATCCTACACGAGAGACATCTAGTGCAAGCTGAATGAAGCTCCCAAATGAGACGGATATTTATACTATTCGTCCTTAGCTCAGTAAGGAAAAAATGTGGGAAAAATGTGGCATGGGAAAATCTTACTCGCGTTGCCCAATAAATGATTATCGGCGCGGATGATGAGACTTTGAATGTGAATCTTCGTATCTTTGTTACACAAAACCAATATTGGCTCAATGCAGCGTGTTGGTGGGGTAGGAAGAGAGAGGGGAGTCCTAGTCATGAAGACGAGTCGAGAAACTCACTTCTTCTATGGTTCAGAAGCTTCAAGCTTGCGTGCGGATTCGAGGAAATGGCTGAAATATTTCGCTTGATGTGAAGAGTTGCGGGATTTTCATCGGCGTCTGTGGAAGCGAAACACGGAGACTTGGCTAAGGACTTTTCCAGTTTCGTTCATGAACAGTAGTCGAGACTCCGCCAGTCTTGTCGGTAGCTACCAGAAACAAACCAGCTTTGTTTAAAAATGCGGTATTCCACAGTAAAACGCCTCCCTTTGCCATGGCGTGACCAAAATGACACCTTTTTTGTCGAAGGGATTGGCTTACTTATCAGTTTCTTAAAGCGTTAAATCCATCTGTTTATCCCCAAGTGCTTGAGCCGTCGGAAATCGAAACAGAACCGGATTCTCCTGAAATACCCTTAAATCGGCCACGATCGCGCACAAGTTCAAGAGAGCGCCCTTGCACACACGCAGCGACCATGCTGGAAGGAAGACTGGAGGGTCAAGTAGGTGCGGGACCGCGCGAAAGGGCATCTTCGAAAATGCATCTTAGCAAGGGCATATTCGGGCGATGAGATGGCAGCTAATTCAATTTTAAGTTGCTCTTGTTTGGTTTATTTTCTTCTCCTCGAATTGTCTGTAGCGGTCAATTTCGAATTATTTCCAGTTTCTGAACCCACAAATATATCATCTCTAAATAAATATGCGAAAATGACATTGATGTCCTTCATCAAAAATTTAATTGGGTGTCCTAAAGACGATGGGTAGAAGCTATCGCCATCTCGCGACTAGAAGAGTACGAGGAGCGTTCGAAAAGTCTCCGGCCCGAGGCACTTCTTGTTGTAATACACCATTCGGCCTTTTATTTTCGGAAGACAAGTGTCTCTGAAGGTGACTGGCGAAATTTCACCGTAATTTTATTAAATCAGACTCCTTTCGCCGATCCTCTGCTCGATCCTTCAAGCTTAGTAATTAGATCACAGTCGTGTCGGTTTTAATATCTTATAGAGAGCCTTCACGGAACCTTTTTTAAGCATTCTTGACAGATAGTAACGGCCTCTACCGCTTTAAAGCGGTTAGTGGAAGCTTCTGTCGACAGAAGGGTACTCTTTTCCTTCTTACAGAATAGTCCACTGAAAGTGACTCCGGTCGGAAACTTTTTGAACTCTTCTAGCACGTCGGCAGCGTCTCGTTACATTTCTGGATAATCTTTGCTTTTCGACACTCCAGTGCGATCGATTGGTTCAGAAAATGTTTAGGGTCGACCGAGTTGACCAAAACATGAACTCGACTTGGAACTTGTCGCTGCGAAAATGAAGGCCTAAATATCATCTTCAGTGCTAGTTCGATGGGTTGCGCCTGCGAATGTGCGCCAAACCGACACAATGCTTAAGGCGATACGAATCGAATGTGAAATCAGGAGACTCCCGTGTGTGGGTGATGTTGATTGTAATCTGACTCCTATTATTGCAGTGTATTATTGTATTGCAGTGCTGGTGAGATCCGTAGTGAAATACGAGATGGTTTAACCACAGGAACAGGAATTACAATATTTCTCAATGTGAGACAATTGTCCAGGAAGGGTCCACCGAGGTGGTAAGAGAGACGGATCACATCCACACGTATGTACACGAAGAACTAGAATGTCAGAAAGAGTCCTCAGTCTCCCAGCGGTCGACGATTTGTTTCTTCTGTTCAGGTTAGGGGGAAGTCTCTCGGAGGTGGGAGGTGGAGGGGAGGTGACTCCTCCCCCTCATATCCTATGGTCACCGTCTCGTGGTCCACACATCCCAAAATAACCTCTTGGGACGAATCGAGTCTCTAATGGTTAGAGGTTACTCTGGTTGGCTGATTTTACAAAAGGGGGATTAGATGGGGTGAGTCAGTCAGCTAGTGTTTCAGTCAGGGTGTTATCATAGGCCTACTAGAGCCTCTTCTTGGACCATGGGACTAGAAGAATGGCGTCGTCTGCTGCATCTCAGTGTTCTAAGTAGTACCGCCGGAGATATATGAGTACGCAAAATGCACGACTCCCAGTGAGGACAAGCGCAAAGGAAGGAGCTCTGGTCATATCATTTGCGAGATCCTATATTCCGAGAGCGCCTATTCGTCCGCATTCTACGTGGTGCAGGCGAGCCTTCCAATCTCCGCTTAGAAGCGTGAAGAATGTCTCGGTGCATTTGCGACAGTGCTTTCGAACTGGGAATGGTCATCATCAAGTGGCCGATGTGAGTTCAGGCTGAAGACCGACTGACCAAACATAATCATGTCGTGTTATCACACATTTTGTATATTAAGTACCATAATTTTTTTCTATTGCCTATTTGTAGGCAAATGTTCATGGGTATGGGAAGCCTGATGAGAACTTCATCAAGAATCTCAGGAGCATCGTGGGGGAGAAATATGTGTCAACATCTGATGCCGTGAGGTCTCAACACGGCCGAGATGAAGGTCCTTACCCTGCCATGGCACCAGAGCTTGTCG